GTTCTTTGTTTTAAAAAGAGTTAAGCAATGGCACCTACTTTGTGGAATCTACATATTAAATGAGTAATACATATATAAAATATATAGCCTTCATATCAGATGAATTCCATAAAATATGTGTGGCATACATGTGAGTATATGTCCAATGTGTATTTCAATTTATATATAGATATATAAGCTAGGTTTACAGACACCAATTATGATTTCAGTTTCCAATCTACTAATATTTTGAGGCTCATTGATAACTCGCAAGAGGAGATGACAGAAAGGCAGCTAGGTGTGTCCACCTGGAGCCAGCAGAAAGCTCTGGACTGACAGTGAAGAGTAAACCTTGTGCAAATCTCAAAGGCGAGATACCCATCTGAATGCTGGAAACAAGAATACAAGCGTCAGAGGTGACTTAAAAAGATGGCTGAAAATGCAAGCAAACCCACACAGAGAGGCAACAACCAACACCCACCTCGTTGTTCAGTTAGCCCATCAAGGCAGTGCTGAGATGTGGGGTCTCCAGGGAGAGGCCATGTGTCCCTCATCTGACAAGGATGCTGGAGAAAGGAGACACTCCTGGAGGCCGGGCGTGGCCTTTTCACCCTTGATGTCGCTGATCTGCCTGGAGCTGACTGACAGGCAGTGCCCTCTGGAGCTTGTGCTGCAGGAGACAAGTGAGAGTCGGAGTGTGCTGAGGGCTGGCAAACCCCGCTCCCCAGAGTGGAAGTCAAGATATTGGAGGCAGATTTCAAACTGCGGGTTAGACATACTTCTCAGTGAAAGACTCATTTGGAACCAAGTTTTTGAAAGGTTTTCCTTGAAAACAAAAAGTTAAATAATGAGACGCGTGTGCGTCTCCTAGGCCAGCTGGAGTCGAGGCTATTGCAGAGACTGTACTTTACTTTTCTCAAGGTGGGAAATAGAATAAGGGGAGAATGTCACGTGATTACAAAGTGGGCAGTGGGCCGGGCATGGTGGCTCACGCCTGCGATCCTCGCACTCTGGGAGGTTCCAGGGTTGCTTGAGCCCAGGAGTTCAAGACCAGCCTGGGCAACACAGTGAGACCTTGCTCCAACAACAACAGAAATTAGCCAGACGTGGTGGCACATGCCTGTAGTCTCAGCTGCTCAGGAGGCTAAGGAAGGAGGATCACCTGAGTCCAGGAGGTTGGCGCTTTGATGTGCCTCGATCGTGCCATTGCACACTCTGGGTGACAGAGTGAAACCCCGACTCAAAAACAAATAAATAAAAATAAAGTGGATTGTGGGAAGATAATTAAGGGAGAAGAAGGGACTATGGCTTGAGAAGAGAACCTTGTAGGAGCACAGTCACCTGCAGAGCCCGCTCTCATATTGTCACTGGTGTGCTCGAAAATCGTCTGGAAAGACAAAAGATTTCTCTGTAAGAAGACAGTGAGACTGAACTTACTGAAAGTTTCCCTGGGTAAACAGGGTGCTCTCCCTTCCTTCCTTCCTTCCTTCCTTCCTTCCTTCCTTCCTTCCTTCCTTCCTTCCTTCCTTCCTTCCTTTCCAGTTTGCTTACTAACTCAGAAAACGTACCCACAACAATATGTGACTCAGAGACAAAGAAAAAAGTCACATGTTTCTGACCAAATGAATGTCATCATTTTATGTGGCTTTCCATATGTGTATCACCAGACACTTCAGAATACCAGAGATGAAACCTTTGCTTGGCAGTTGCTGGACTGTTTTCTTAGTAAGTTTAAAGTGTTGTGAATTAGGGACCAATGTGTACATCAGAAATATGCAGGTCTTTTGTCCAATATTATTGTAGATTTAAAAATCTTGCATTTTAAAATTTCCACTTTACTATGTCTCCCACGAAGCTGTGAACTTTTTGAGAGCTAAATGTCTCATACATTTTTTTGCTACGAATGATTCAGTGAGATGAATTACGGTTCGAGATTTTTTTTTTTTTTTGAGTTGGAGTCTCACTCTGTTGCCCAGACTGGAGTGCAGTGGCTCCCGGCCACCGCAGCCTCGACCTATTTGACTCTGGCGATCCTTCCGCCTCAGCCTTCCAGGTAGCCGGAATTACAGGCATGCGCTACCACGCCCGGCTGATTTTTTAATTTATTGTAGAGATGAGGTCTCACTGCGCAGGTGGGTCTCGAACCCGCAGGCTCAGGCAATCCACTCACCTCAGCCTCCCAAAGGCGCGGGATGACAGGCTGAGCCACCGAGCCTGGCTGAAATGTTCTTTTTTAATAACACGATCTTAAAAGATTGAGTTGAAAAGTTTGTGCGGAGAAAAATCCTGAGAGCTGTAACACAGACATCTATAAGATTAAAACTAGTCGTTTAATTTGTCAGTCAATGGATTTTTTAAAATTTCTGGAATGAGTACAAGAACAACAGTGGGTAACATAGAAAGCATTTTCCTTGCATGCTAGGTTCTTCCAAGCATATTACACCCCTCAGCGCCTCTTGGGGTGGACTGTATTCTAACCCTTCTCATTCCACAGATGGAGACTGATTTTGAGGGGGTAAAAGAAGATGTCGGCAGAGATGCAAGCACCTAACTCTCCCTCCGTCCTTTGCCTCTGGAACCTCGATTTATTTATCTCTTCTCTCAATTTGCCATACGCAGCCTCTCCATGACCCCCTCCTGGTGAACACAGATATGACCCACGTATTCTTTTAATCCAGCCAGTGAGAGAACTACTAGCACCCTTCGGATCACGAATGTCCGTTTCATAAAATTATGCGTAATGAAACACACATTCAAGAAATGTAGGCCAAGCTCTGGTCATCCCCCATGCATCCCCAAAACTTTATTTTAGCTTTAACATGTCACCTGTGAGAACATTCATGTCTTTGCCAAGGTGATTAAACCCAAGCCCCGCCCCCATAAACTTACCCCGGCCAATAGCTAGCGGCTCTCCCAGGGTCCTCTTTTCTCCTCCTCCTGTCTTGTTTTGCTCTTTGGGGTCAGGACAGCACTGAGCCTCAAATCTCCAGGTCAACACAGGAACAAGACTCCCCACTGTCGGCCACTCAGCAGGCCCAGGCCGCAGTGCGCAGACAAAATCCCAGGGCCACTCCTCCCCGTGTCTGTGGGCTTGAAAATGTTACTTAAACTCCCTAAGCTTCAGTTTATTCATAGACAAAATGGAGGTGACGGCAGTCACCCATGTTTGAGGGCTAGACAAGATAAGTCACAAAAACGTCTTAAATCAGCACATGCACACCTAAGGACTAAATAAATGTTTGCTGTTATTGATACTCCTGTTGTTATGTTGCATGGGATCTTGGAAAGCCTTACTCTTATTTGCTTCTCTGGTGTTTATGATACTTCCATATTTCTTTTGGTCTATGGTGAAATATTTTTGCATAATCTCACCTTTGTTTGCACTAAGCAATGAGTGAAAATGCATTTAAACTGTTTTTAAAAATTTGTGGTTAATTATACATGCAACCAACAGAGTAACGGCTAATTATTTTTAATGTATAATAGAATGCCAGTGGGTAAGATTTCTGCAGTCATGAATTTTATGTGAATTCACATGAAATGCTTAATGTAAAATCTTACCGATAAAGAGATATGTGGCAACAGTTATCGGTGTGTAGCCTAAATTTAATTGCATAGATTTCTAGGAGTAATTGCGTTTCATCAGAGTGCCCAGATCAACAAGTCATATACATTCTTTCATCTAACGTAGAATTTAAGCTTCCTGCATAAAGCACAAAAATAACAGATCTCCAAAACCATCGCATTCCACAATTTTCTAGTCTGTTGATTTTGGTTCCTGTACCTCTGGGCATAAAAGCTGATTAGTCCAATGCCCCCAGTAATTACAATCTAAGAACGTAGAAAAACATTTGAATAGTAGTAAAAGAAACATCAGCAAATCACAAGATGATTAGAAAAAATAATATGGCAAGGTTGTGACTCTCAACCCCATTCTGTGATAATAAGTATATTCCATAAACATTTCGCAGAAAAATCAATCAATTCATGCCTTTATTTATAAAATCCTGAACGGTAAAAATAAGTAGAATTTAGCCATCATATAAAAGGAAATCACTTTATTGCAGGAGAAATGCTGTTTCAAACAACAACAAAAAAAGAGAATCAATGCAATCAAACAGATCTGCAGTGTTTCTAGTTAGAAGAGTTTTCATTTGAAAAATGGTTTTAAAAACACAACCAAGACCTATGATTTGCCTTTTAGTTATGGGACAACCCACAGAATTCTAACCCTATATGGTATCCAACCTTCACCACAGAATGGAGTCTGCTAACTTTGTTTAGTACACATGCTCCCAGTTTTGGGTAAATGCCGGGTTTTCGCCATGTGTTGATAACAGCGCTGGAACCGGAACTAAAAATGAATTATTTCACATTACGTGACTCATTACGCAGAAGCCACAAAAATGAGTCTAAGTTTGCTCATTGACATAACGTTATCGTGGGCAAGTCGAAGACTACGCTTTGGAGATACAACGTGAAACTCACCCCGCCCCTGCCCTCACAAGTGTTCCTTAGCATGAAGAAAGGGGGTTAAATACCTCAGAAATGCTCTGGAAGCTTTGATTGTAGCAGTGGGAGTCACGGCGAGGAATCCAGTTCCTAACACTGCTTTGCTCCTTGGTCAGCTCTTCCATGCCCTTGGGTATTTTTCAAATCTGGTTTGCACTCTTTTAATGCAATGTCAGAGAAATGACCAGAAGTACCTCTTTTGTGGCGTTTAAATGATATTCTTGCCCATTGCATTGTGGAGTCAGCATCTTTAAAAAAGAATAAGAGCTTGACTTATACTTTTTTGCGCAAAATCACTAGGAAAGAGTTCAAACTCTAGTTCATACACTAAAATGTTTCTAAAACAACTAAAAATCACTCGGGCCCCTGTCTGATATGCTAATACGTTTGTTTTACTTCTGTGTTTTCTAGATTATCTTTAGCAATTCCATCTACAGCTAACTGTTGTTAAACTTGCTATTACTCTCGTCACTTATCAGCAATAAGATCCAGTTCTGTCTTCTTTCTAGGATCCCCAGCCTTGACTGGAACTGGCACAATCAGTGTCATAGTAGATGACGTCAATGACAATGTACCCACTTTTGCCAGGAAAATGTACTCCACAGCAATTCCTGAAGACGCCCCAACTGGAACAGATGTCTTATTGGTAAATGCCTCAGATGCTGATGCTTCAACAAATGCGGTTATAAGGTCAGTACATCTTCGTCTGTAAAGTTTGGTTGTGTTCTCATGAAACATTAGCCTTTGTCCTCAGTGAATAGCACACCGAACTTAACCAGACATTTTTTAACATGAACACATGTTTTATTCTGAGTACCAACCGCTGAATAACAGTGGTCCCTCAAATGAGGATTAAAACCACAAATATTTGACTTAATTTCTAAAATTTTATTTTGTATACTGATTTCATTTATATTTTCATCCCACCTTATAATCTTATAGTTCAGGACTACCGGGAGTGGTGGTTCTTCTGCTTCGTGTGGTTGCCTCGTGTCACTTCACAGAATTTGTCTGGCGACTGGGTGGTCTGGAGGGTCCAGGAAGGCTTCACGTGCCTGGTTCCTTGGAAAGGATGATTAGAAGGTGAAGCTCACCTGGGACCCCCTCTTCCCTCATATAGTTCCATGACTCCTTGTGGCTGTTTATCAGGGAAGTTGGACTTTTTTTTTGAAAGTAGGATTTGTTGTGAGGACAGAAAAGCTCCCACAGTGGGAGTGGACCCCAGGAGTTGCCCTGAAGTTGGACTTTTCAACATGGTGGCTTTGGTCTTTAGGAGCCTCAAGTGAAAGCTACCTGTGCGTGCTCTTGACATTCAGTCCCAGATGTGAAATATCACCAGTTCCTCAATACTCTTGGTCAAAGCAGTCATGGCCAGCCCAGAATCAGCAGGAGGAGAAATGCCCACCACCCTTTGATGGGAGAAATGTCAATGAATCTTGGTCATTTTAAACCCATCGTTAGCCCTGATACAAGTATTTGCATTTTCATAGTTAAGAAAGTTTATTTTACTCTACTTAAATCCTCATAAAATGGGGAACAGCAATGTGGTAGCTCATTCAGAGAGTATGTGAAAGCAATTGAGTCGTAGCATTTGATTGATCTGGCTTGTCCTCTTCTCCTATGCCTATCGTAAACTAAGAAATGATGATCTATAGGCATTCTAGATAAGAGCTCACAGAGGTAAATATTGTCGCACGCCCTCTCATAGGCCGATGTTGGGTACGTTCGAGTGGGTTAGATGACTCTGAACGAAATGACTCAGAAGTTAGAATATGAAGAATTCAAAGGAATTATCAGTCATGGGTAGCCTATATATTGGTACAATGATGGTTGGATTAGTGATGTGCTTTGTGGTTTGTTACTAATTTTCTTTTAACAAGATCTTCTTGGAAAACTGGTTTTAGTCTTTCTTATTGGCAGAGATGACTAAGTTAGGGCAGGAGACCCCAGACACATTTTCCATTTGATAAACACTTATTGAGTTACTGATAGGAACAGCAGTGGCAAACAAGAGGAGATTTCTGCTTTGTTTGAACCTACCTTTGTTTTGAGGTAGACAAGTATAAGTATATAGGCTAATCTCCTGTAGGGATGACAGCCTTGAAAACAAAACAAGATCACACAACAGCGAGTAACAAGGAGGGATTTTAGGTTTGACTCTTATGCATGGTGAATTAGTCTGTTTATGCTACTATAACAAAATGCCTTAAACTGGGTGGTTTATAAATAGCATGAATGTATGGCGCACATTTATAAAGGCTGGGAGGTCCAAGTAAAGGCTCTGAATCCCATCCATGCGGGCTCTGCCCTCATGACTTAATCATCTTCTAAAGGTCTCACCTCTTAATACCTTCATGCTATCCATGCACTTCCAACACATGAATTTTGGGGGACACATTCAGACCCTAGCAGATGGCCTCTCTAAGGAGGAGACCGTTAAGTAGGACTGGGCAGGGGGATGGTAGTCAATTCAAGAAGGCCAGTGCGTCTGGGCCAGAGTAGAAAGGGGTCAGAGAGGTAAGCGGGGCCAGATTGTGCAGACACATAAGGGGTCACCGTAAGGAACTGGGAGTTTAACATTTGTTTTTAGGTGCGAAATGACAGAGTTATTCAAAGAAGAGTGGCCTTGCCCTTCACTGGAGAAATTAAAATTGGTTGAATAGACTTGGGGCATACATCTGAGATTAGAAGCATGAGTAAACTAAAGAGAGAAATAAGAATCATCTACTACGTTTTCCACTCAAACACATCGGCAAGTCATGGTATCACTACTGAAATGAGTAGGATTGGAGCAGGTAGGTTTGGGAGAAATCAGACGTTTTTATCTGAATACAACTTGAGATCCCTGTCAGTCATTCATGTAGTCCTATTCGCTAGGAAGTTGGAGGTACAAGGGAGGAGCTTAGGATCAGGGCTGGGCTAGATGTACCCACTTGGGAGTCATCAATGTTTAGACACTTAAGGAGAGTTTATAGCTCAGAGAGGGAGCGAGGGGCTGGAACTGGACCCCAGGAATTCTCCGCCCTGGAAAGGCGGGTTTGGAAGACGAGTCTTCGAAGCAGCTAAGAAGGTCTGGCTAGATATATAGGAGGAAGTTCAGGACAAAATGGACCCTGGCGTTCATTGTGAAAGCCACACACACACTTCTTTCAACAGGACAGGAGAAGCCTAATTCCCAGGGGCCTGTGAGGTCCAGTTACTGGGATCAGGAGATTTCTGTCTGAGTCATGGCTGGCCTGGGTCATTGTGCTGAGCACCACCTGAGAGAGGCAGGTGCCACCGAACTCCTGCCAGGGTGTGAGCCTCGAGGCCAGTAGACACCCTCCCCTTGCCTCATCCCACGCCAACCCAGAGGAATGATGAAGTTCATATCCTAAGACTCAGTCTGAAGTCTCCAGTTCCTAGTTAAGAGCAGAACCTTGGGAATCAGGCTGTGTGGAACTGAATCTTGACTCTATTGCCACTAATTGCATAAGGATGAGCAAGTTATTTGACAGTTCTGGATATGGTTTTCTTATCTATGGACAAGGCATGGTAACAATAAAACTGACTGTACAGAAAATAAGTAAAATAATTTAAGTGAGCCACGCAGAGTGATATCTGGAAAAAAAAATGCTCAGTTGCAATCAACTCATACAATTCTAATCTATGCAAAGCAGCACTCCAGTCCTCTCTTCAATACCTGTTAGTTGCTCAGTAAGTTTCTGATAATAATTTTGAAAATGATATCCTGTCCATTATAGTGTGATGATCTAATAATTCTTTATCTGCCACGCAAAGGAAATTTCTTCTTGAGTCAGCTTACAGAATACTGCCAGTCAGTAACAGGACAGGTCTATTGTCTGCGATGTTTAAATTCCAGAGTGTGAAGTTGAATGTCTACAAAATCGTTCAATGATTTATTCACTTATTGCTAGAATAAAATGCTATGATGATCAAGTGTGTGTCCAAAATTCATTGCAAAATTCTATCAGGTGCTTGTGAACTAGTCTTGTAAAACTGGCCTAGAAAATCTTGTTGATAAAATTAGCCAGGCGTGGTAGTGCGCTCCTGTAGTTCCAGCTGCTTAGAAGGCTGAGGCGGAAGGATAGCCGGAGCCCGGCAGGTCGAGGCTGCGGTGACCGGGAGCGGCCACTGCACTCCAGTCTGGGTGACAGAGTAAGACTCCAACTAAAAAAAAAAACAAAGAAAGAAAAAAAAAGAAAATCTTGTTTGTATTTTCAGAGTGTTTTACAGAGTTACACTGGTGGATCTGGTGTGATGACTTGGGTTCATTAGTATATATATATATATATAATAAAAATTGAAGTTATTTTTATCTTGTGAAAAAGAATCATGTTCACTTATCAGTTAACAGAGCAAGAAGTTACTCCAGCTTAAATTTAAAATACTTTCAGGAATAAATTAAATAATTAAAACAACTTTACTTTAGCTTGATAAAATCGTAACAGAATATAATTCATCTTTATAGTAGGTGTTAATGATCAAATTTTGCTATCCTTCATGGAATCCTGGAGAAAATCCATTCTCTCTTCAGGTTAAAAGTGCTATTGCTGTAATTGTTACATTGATCATTTAAATTTTACACATTTAAGTTATTTACTCAACCACTGATGGCCTCTAGGAGCACAGATCTCAATGTGTGCTATCATTTGTTAATTTTTCAAATGACCTAGCCTAATCTTGTCCATAGCAATAGCCAGTCAACAGACCAACACTTATTTATATTTTTATTTCTAGTTATTTGATCAACTATGCATGTCTACAGATGGTGTACTTACTTTGACTACATTTTACTTAAACTTTAGTATTTTTCCACTCTAGCAAACAGCCCATTTGAGTCTTATTCTTGATCTACCGAGCTTATATCTTTGCTTTCCACATACCCATTCCAGAACTGAGCTTTTACAGATGTGCAACCCTTTTCTCTGGACTGGACCAAACCACTGTTCAGACTGTACTTGTGATTCTTTTATGTCACAGCAGTGGAGAAAGTCATGAGACCGTCTTGACAGGTTCAGCATCCGAAGGAAAATCCTTCACCCTGCGCTCTTTTATTATTATTATTATTATTATTAGTAGTAGTAGTAGTAGTAGTAGTATATTGATGTGGGGTACAATTCAGGGTTAGATATACAAACACTGGTTATGCAGGTGCCCTTGTTGATGAGGTGTGCCCTTCCTTGCCCTGGCAATTTCCCTCACCTGCCAATCCCACCCCCTCCCTTGACAGTTCTCCACCACTGCCAGTCCCTTTCTTACAGTAATATAATTGTTCAAGGTCTGCTTACGAGTGTGAACATATGACTCTCTGTTCTTTGTTTCTGTGGTAGATCACTGAGTATCATGGACTCTAAATCCATCCCTTCCCATGCACTTTCCTCCAAGTCTGCAGTTCAGCAGTTAGAGCACCTCCCTCTTGTGTCTTCAAGGTATCTTTCCTCCAGGAAGCATTTTTTCATCTACATAAGCTCATTCACGCAGGTCAGTGTGTCCACAGAAATGCCCAGAAGGACTGATATAGAATTCTGCTTCTTCTGTTTACCGCCATGAAAGGAAAGCCACTGTAGGGTCTCTGAGGCTCAATGTCTTCACCAATAAAAATGGAGATAAGAACGTATACTTTCCAGCTTTGAGACTCCAATATTTATCAGCCTTCTACGATGCTTCTAACAGTGCATATGGAATCA